AAAATGTAAATAATAATGATAATTACAATCATAATCCTCATGTCACTAATTATTTAGAGTCTAAAATACAAGTTACTTCATATTTAACGTTTTGCGAAGATGAGGTAAAAAATATATTTCAGGTTAAATGAACAGGACTGATTCAGAGGAAATGGAAAAGTGCAGAGGAACCAATATATATTGTATGAAGCATGTTTCTGATTCATTTCTACTGGAGCTTAAAGGTTGAAAATACATCTTGTGTGGATTTTATAATTTTCCAATGATACAAATGATTTGTTTTACCTTTATTTGGGGATTTTTATTGTAATTTTATGTAAATGTGTAGTTTTTTTTTTCTAATCCCTGCAGTGCCACTCCTCGCCGCTGGAGTCGCTGTGGGTCAAGGCGGCTCCAACGAAGCGCAACGGCGACAGTCCAGCGTGAACCGGAAGAGGAACACATCGGCCATGAGCAGTAGCATGTAGCTGCTGCGTTGCACTGAAAAACAACAAGTATCGTGTTTTAACTGAGCGATTTTAACTGTTTCATACAAGTTCATGTTTTTATAAACCGTCGGCTCAAAGATTCTTCACTGGAAATGGGAGTCCCGGCGTTTTTCCGATGGCTGAGCCGGAAATACGCGTCTATCATTGTTCACTGTGTGGAGGAGAAGGTACGTGTTAGCATGTTAGCTAGCAGCAGAGCCCGTTGAATTAACGCCGCGTGCGTTCACAGTTTGAACCGTTGAACTGTCTGAATGTTGTTTCTCTGGCGCTGATTTCTCTTCGACTCGTTTCGCGCTGAAGTTTCTGGCTCGTTCGCTTCTGAGAAGCAGCGGAAGTTCGCGGACTTCGGCGTGTAAACAAATCCGCTCCGAACTTTACACCATCACGTGCGGAGGCTGACACCGACGCGTTCTTTGCGTCTTGGTGTAATTTCAAGCTCCAGATATTAAACTTCATCTGCACTGGTTTTAAACTTGATTGGATTTATTTCTGTGTGTTTTACCTCCTCAGATGAAAGTTGTGTGTTCTGTCTCTTGTGTTACGCTGTGATTGTCACTTCCAAACCACCGAGTTGTGTTGAATCTTACAACCCACGTGTTGTCAGAACAAACTAAACCTTTTGTTAAAGCGGTAAAAAGAAGCTTCAGTAGCCGCCACGTGTGTTGACTGATTTGCTGCTGATGCTATGTCCGGTTACAACGATTCATATTTTCACTGTTGATCATTTGGCCAAATCCATTTTCCCACAGAGCCGGATGATATCTTCAAGTTTGACCTGTGGATCAGTTAGGACTGGACAATATGTTCAATAATTATACCAAGATAAATGTATTTACCTTTCTGTTTATTGTTTATCACAATATCTTACATTATTTCTTTCCATCTGAATGAAGGTTGTGGTTTTAAACTCTTTACGAACAGAAATGGAAAAGATTAAATTACACCTCCTCACTGTGCTTGAACGATGCATTAGCATTTTATTTATACATATTGGTCGTATGTTATCATGAAAATTATATTGCAGTGATTATTGATATTCTGTTCCACAGCTCTAAGTTGATGAATGTTGTTTATCAAGTAATCAGTTTTATCTACTTATCGTGTTGTGAGTCAAATGCATCAAGGTCCAGATGTTTCCTGACTTTAAGAACTTATTATTTTCAGAGAAGTTGATTGTGGCTGAACAGTGAGTAAATGTATGTATTTTCTTTTTTCTTCACCTCCACAGGGGAAAGAATGTAATGGAGTCCGTATTCCTGTTGATACAACCAAGCCCAACCCCAATGAGGTGGAGTTCGACAACTTGTACTTGGACATGAATGGGATCATTCACCCATGTACACATCCAGAAGACAAGTAAGCCAGATATTCAAATCAGTGCATGTCTCGATAACTAGAGCCCAGTCGACGTGGATTCTGTGGACAGTGAATAAAATGTCCAATATTTTAACAGACCTGCCCCCAAGAATGAAGATGAGATGATGGTCGCTATTTTCGAGTACATCGACCGCCTGTTTAATATCGTGCGGCCCCGGAGAGTTCTTTACATGGCCATCGATGGAGTGGTGAGTAACTCAGGACCACAAACTTGCCGTTTAGATTATGACTCCTTTTCCCACCAGTTTTTTAATCAGTCACCTATTTTCGTGTGGACAAAAATAGATTGTAGAGACAAAGTTGCATTCGCCTATTGTCATTTTTACTTCCCTGCTGGTTTTCTCGTTCATCTCTCCCAATAAATAAATAATAATCCGATTTTATCCTTTTTAATAAAGAGGAAATGTATGATAAGCTTTACGGGAACATTGTTTTGATGTCTTTACAGGCTCCACGTGCCAAAATGAACCAGCAGCGCTCTCGACGTTTTCGTGCCTCTAAAGAAGGCGTGGAGTTGGCAGACGAGAAGCATCGCATGAGGGAGGAGATCATCAATAATGGTGTGTGTTTCAAATCTTTCAGCACGTTCTTCACATTCTATACTGAATACAAACGTTATTTTGGGTAATATTGTTTCGTCATCTCACTTGATTTTTTTATTGCTCTTCTTCAGGAGGTTATCTTCCACCTGAGGAGATTAAGGAGAGATTTGACAGCAACTGCATCACCCCAGTAAGTTTGCTACATTCTTCTCTTCACAAGCAGATGTTATTTATTTTTAGCTTTTTTTTTTCTCTGTGAATAACTTGTTATGGAATTAATTCTTCTTTCTCTAGGGAACAGAGTTTATGGACAACCTGGCGCAGTGTCTCCGATACTACGTCGCAGACAGACTCAGCAATGATCCAGGATGGAAGAACGTCACAGTGAGTGAAACTGCTGCTCAGGATCTCAGACAGAAACATTACCAGAAGTTTCTTGTTGTTTTCAAGAATTTTATAAATACAACAGTTCATCAGAACCACAGAAACTGTGATAAAGAAGTAACTTCCATTTTTTTAACTTGATGATATGTTTTTGTTTGGAGCTCGTGGCTGTTGACATGTTGTACTCTGGTTACGTGTCGATGTAGAAAGTCACTGTCTGTTTTTGCCCCAGGTCATCTTGTCTGACGCCAGTGTTCCAGGCGAAGGTGAACACAAGATCATGGACTACATCAGGAGGCAGAGAGGTGCGGCTAACACACATTAAAGCACATTTCATGTAGCAGCACACAGACACACACACACACACAGTCAGAAACATCATTAACTAATGTTTGTGATTCACTTTCACAGCTCAACCCAACCACGACCCCAACACACACCACTGCCTGTGTGGAGCCGATGGTGAGGCTTTAAATCCACAGTCTGAAATGTAGAATAAGAGGAAATAAAAAACATTCACCTTGTGTAACGTTACAGTAAAATAACTTCAGTATTTACAGAGAGAAGTAAACTGGTCTCATTGTTCATTACTACTTAAAAAGTTGCGTCTTTCTTCATGTTGTCACCGATCAGCTGACCTGATCATGTTGGGCCTGGCCACACACGAGCCAAACTTCACCATCATCAGAGAGGAGTTCAAACCCAACAAGCCGCGGCCCTGTGCACTCTGCAATCAGATGGGTCACGAAATCAAGGACTGTCAGGGGACGGCCAGAGAGAAGAAGGGAGAGGTGAGGATTCAGACGTGTTGGACTGCTGCTTCTTAACGAATATTACACACACACACACACACACGTGCGTTTATAAAGTCAGAGCAAGAGTAAAAATATAAAAACCATTTCTCTTTCAGCACGATGAATTCGCTGACACTATGCCGGTGTCTGAGCAGGAGTTCATCTTCATCAGACTGTGTGTGCTGCGGGAGGTTGGTTCACTAGTTTATGTATCTTTGTGAATCTTCTTATTTCATAAAGTAAACGAGCAGCTGTTTGTCCAGAACCAAAATCTAAAACCTACTTAATTTCCACCCTTTCTTGTTTTCAGTACCTCGCCAGAGAGCTGACCATGGCCAGTCTGCCATTTCCCTTCGACTTTGAGAGGAGTGTCGACGACTGGGTTTTCATGTGCTTCTTTGTTGGTAACGACTTTCTGCCTCATCTGCCGTCCTTAGAAATCAGGTGAGCTTCAGGACGAGTCTTTGTGCCTAGAATTAGTTTGAATGTTGGAAAATGTGGAAGCGGTTATGTCAGTTGGTTAAGATCGATCTAAAATCAAAACTATTATTTAAAACATTCAGTTATTATTTCTACAGTTACAGGATTTTTTTTCTCTTTGTCTCATCTCAATTATTCCAACTTCCCTGTGGCAGCGGCAGCTTTCTTTTAGCTTCACAAAAACCGGGTTAATTGGACGGTTGTGTTGCTTCATATAGTGCAGGTGTTTTCTCTACTGGCTCTATAGAAAACAGCTTTATTACTCACTTTCACTGTAATCCTCCCACCACTTCACTTTAACTTCTGACACCGATCAGCCTGAAGTCCGGTGGAGAGGGTCAGACTCTCGTCTTTATTTTTCACAAAGATGAAACGTTGGTTGATTACCTACCAGCGTGGCCGGTGATGCAGCCAAATTTCTCGCTGCCGTTGAAGATAAATTGCTGTTTGGTTTCAGCTCAATTTCCCGTCCTGATTAACCGTTTCAATCTACACTGAATGACCCGACTTGAATTATCCTCTGTGTTACAGAGAGGGAGCCATTGATCGGCTGGTCAACATCTACAAAGACGTTGTGCACAAAACAGGAGTGAGTATCATCACTAGTCTGAGTTTTGCAAACAGGCAGGACAGAAACTGCATAAAGAGAAATGTAGGACACTGCTGAACAAATTTATTTTGTAGGGCTACCTGACGCACAACGGCTACGTCAACCTGGAGCGAGTAGAGCTGATCATGCAGGCGGTGGGCGTTGCCGAGGACAACATCTTCAAGAAACGCAAAGAGGACGATGTGAGATTTAGGTTTTATAAAAGATAACAGCTGATCCACCGGAGTCCAGATAAAGAGTGCAAATGTTTTCATCTTCTTCTGTCTTGTAGGAAGGCTTCAAGAGAAGAATGAAAGAGAAACGAAAGAGGATGAAGGTGCGTAAAACTGTAGTCAAGCTTCAACACTGACATAAATTTTACTGATAATATAAACCTGCAGGAAGCTTTATACAGATCGTGATTGCCTGTGTACTGAATTGTCAGAGGTGTCTCTTGTGTTTCTCTTAAGGCGGAGCAGCGTGGTCCCGCCTACATGACCACCGGCCAGTTTGCCCCACAGGCCCTGGGGCGAAGAGACCGACCCGATACCGTTCAGAACGCACGTCACCAGGCCTACGACATGAGAATGCAGAACAGGGAGCAACCTAACAAGGTACGACTAATTACAGGTTACATCTATGAATGAATAGTTTATGTTCAAACAAACCTTTTGTGTTGTAACACTGAGTTTTTAAAGCTGTTGTCCAGTTACACACATGTCATGTTTTTTTAGAATAAAGGACTAGATGGTGAATATCTCTTGTACGTTTGAAGGTCTCCTGCACAATTTAACTACCAGTAGATGTTAGCAGGTCGGCCAGAAGACGTTAGGGACAAAACCTCAGTTGTGCTTCTTAGCGTCATCAAGTGTTTTGGCCTTGTTATACAGGCTGAACTCGAGGGTACACTGAGGCTAACGGTAAATCTGACGATAAAAGAAAAAACGGTCACAATAGGTGTTTCTGTTTTCCTCCAGGATGCTGCTCAGTCTCTGAAGGCCATGATGAGGAATGGAGGCAACGTAAGTTCTTGGTGAAATGAAGAACTAGAGTGGCACTCGATTGAGCTCATATCCCAAAAGTCCCTCAAAATCTTAGTTTGGACACATTTCACATGTAAGATTCACATAAACTCCTGAAACCACATTATCTCAGCTACACGTTGGTGCTTGTTGCAGGTTTGCAGCCCTTTTTTTATTTACTGTCACATTTAACCACAGTCAAGGCTTGTGTTTGACATTTCTCAGAACTGAACAAAAACCTGAAGCATGTAATTGTTTTACACCTGAAGGGGGCGAGCTTCTTAAACATGTCAGTGAACTGTGCTCAGAGTATTTTCTTTGTTGGTTATTAGAGGACGATTGAGCTAATTTTGCTTTTACACCAATTGATTTTTTGTGTTAAGTGAAACGTTTTAAGGTCTTTGATCGATGCAGCATGTAGGAAATAGAATCCATTCATCCTTTCACACTTCAACTTTCCTTCAGACGATTTCATCTCCCACCTTGAAAATTGTCCCTCGAGCGATTCACGTTTTACACACCGTCACCTTTTCTTATGGATATTTCAGGTTTGACAGTATTTGTGTTTGGGCGACCTGTTTGAATGTGGATGCTGCCTTCAGCTCAGTTCAAGGTCATGTTTCTATTTAATGTGAATCTTAAGCTGTTGAATTCTCTGTGTGGGTATAGTGTTAAATAAATCTGCACACAACAGGAGTCCATGTATTAGCACATGAATGAAAGAAACCAAAGGTTAAGTAGTCAAGGCAGTGGTTTGTATTCATCTATTTTCTGCTCTCGATCAGATTCCTTCATAGAAACATGTTTTATACACACGGCAGCTGCATCAGACAGGAGATACAGATCCATAAGTATATGGACAGAGTTATTATCCTAATTTGTCTTTGTACACAACCACAATGGATTTGAAAGAAAGACTTCAAGGGGTTTAACAAAAACCTTTGTCATAATGAAATCTTAGGATCGGCTGTTTCATCGGTTTTGGAATTTTTCTTTTACTGTTTAGGATTGTTATCGTCTTTACTCTTTGAGCAATACTCCTGGTTTTTATGTCATGTCAATGTTTGTGTGTAATCAATTCGTCTCCTAAATGTCTCGTCGCCCTGTGCAGTCCTCTGCAGGACCCAGTGACGGAGACAGCAGGGGAGTGAAGAGGAAAGCTGAGGACAGCGACAGCGAGCCAGAGCCTGAAGACAACGTCAGGTAAATCTGAATGAGGGGTTCACAGTGGAGGCTGGGAGAATAAGTGGAGGAGCTGATGTTTACATCGCAAGATGGACGTGTTGGACTTTTTATCACCTTCAAAGTTTGTCAGTTGTCATCATTTGACTTTTAGAAGGACTCTAGCGATCACTATATTCACTCCATTGTAAGGTTTATTTACATTGATGTAGAAATATCCAACACCAGCAACGTGGCTTTCATCTGAATTAATCCTGATCACATTAATGTACAGAATAAAGCAGCAGAACAAATTACACAGAAAAATGGAAAGTCAAGTTCTTGACCCATTTACTGATAAAAATCAAACAAGAGAAAAACATTCACGCATTTACTAAACCATGATAAAGATTCTCTGACCCCGAACAATCAAATCAACAGAAACAATCAGCCGTTAATGAGACGGATCCACTTTGATTGTGTTCATATTGAGAAGCTGTTGTTAATAGTGAATCTTAACAGATCAGCTTCAGTCGCTGAGGAAGGCCTTAAATAACAGAAGCAAAGATTCATTAATGTCTCAGTGCTGCAGGACAAGCTGTTTAACTCTGTGCCACCTCCCGTACACACACACACACACACACACACACACA